AATTTTTAATGTTAATATTTTGCAATAATTCTAATATTCTAATCATTTTGATGAATTGATTTTGTGAATTAGCTAATTGTGTATCGATGTGACGTGTACCATGAATTAATTTTAATAATTGACCATTTAAATCTTCATATTCGTAGCATGTATAAACCCATAAGGGTCCTAATTTTTTACACAATTCCCTAAATGTAACAATACATGAATATTTATTGAACAAAATTGAATTCCGTACATATCTTGAAATTCATGAACAAATCATCGTAATAAATCTTGAGCTACTTGTATCATAAAGTTTGTAATTACATCAGAACTTAAAAGTTTTATTGCTACAACTAATCGTAAATAATGTTCGAAATAATCTGCGCGCATTATACAGGGTGACCCATTTTAACTTAGGCAGCCAAATAACTCGAAAAATAAGCACACTACGAAAAAATGGTTACAATCAAAATTTCGTCATTTCGAGGGGGACGTACAATGACGTTAAAATCAGCCCCCCCACCCCTCCCCCTGGGCGGTGAGGGGGGGCAAGTTTGAAATCTTAAATGGAACCCCCTATTTTTCATTGCATATTCTTGTAGCTTATCTCGAGAGCTTTCCAAAACACTATAATTAAGTACCTTTTTATTAAGTACTTTTTGAGTTATAAGGCTTGAAATAATTTCTTAATTTTACATAAACCATAAAATATCTAGTAAACCATTCATTTTTCGATTATCTTACCTTCATACTTTTATGTACAAAATAATGAGAGAAATCAATTGGTGTAAAGAAAACACATAGTTGTTTCTAAGAAAAAATATTAATTTGCAATTAACAATTCCATATTTTTTCTTAAAAACAACTGTATGTTTTCTTTACACCAATTGATTCCTCTCATTATTTTGTACATAAAAGTATGAAGGTAAGATAATCGAAAAATGAATGGTTTACTAGATATTTTATGGTTTATGTAAAATTAAGAAATTATTTTAAGCCTTATAACTCAAAAAGTACTTAATAAAAAGGTACTTAATTATAGTGTTTTGGAAAGCTCTCGAGATAAGCTACAAGAATATGCAATGAAAAATAGGGGATTCCATTTAAGATTTCAAATTGTACGTCCATGTCATTGTACGTCCCCCTCGAAATGACGAAATTTTGATTGTAACCATTTTTTCGTAGTGTGCTTATTTTTCGAGTTATTTGGCTGCCTAAGTTAAAATGGGTCATCCTGTATATTCGAAAACAGGAATAGAATAGTAAAAAAAAAACAGTTTAGTTCTGACGCTTTCCAATGCATTAAATCTGTAACTGAACGTGACATGCGATGAATAAACTTCGGAGGTTTAATACTTATTAGTCGCCTATTAATAATATCTATAACAGCATAAAAAAGAAAATGGAGTACCCGAGTATTTTTGATAAAAAAATAACGTCATCAGTTTTTTCATTACGCCACCATCAACACAGTGCATACGATCAATTGTCATTCCATTAATAAAATCTGACATTATTTTTGAAATGACTGTATGACCTTTCACTCCCATAAAGGGTGTGTCTGATTTTGCTTTATTAGCGAATTCAATAGATTGTTGAACTGTTCTTAGAGTTAATTCATTTTCAAATAGATAAACATGTACATGACTTCGAGAACCAATTTCAATGTGTTCACCTTTACATAAGCATGAATGACAACCGTAATCGCCATTAAATTGAATAAAATTCAAATAATCACGTTTTGCAGGAAGATCGCAAGTTCCCATTAATATTATACCTTTCACAATAATAATGTTGTTATCAGGTAATGTAATTTGAATACCGTCAGCAATTTCCTGAAATGTTTTCATAAACATATACAAAAATGTGTTCATCTGCGGTTTTTTATCATTATACCATGTGACGTTGCCGTCCTGTCGCGCGTCTATCCGCCCCGATAATTTTACCGGGGCGCGGGCTGAGCGGCCGCGCCAGAAGCCACTTTGCGAGAACATTATCGGACTCCCCGGAGAGACGAGCGAACTTATCTTATATTACGCATTTGTTAATTTTATTTGTCATTCTTTTTGTATAGAGCGAATTTCGGGCAACTCGCCGGAGAAGATCCGGAGGGCGAGAGGCGCATCGAGGGATTTCTAAAGGCGCCCTGCGACCTGGCGACAGCAAACGGCGGAAGAAATAGAGCCCGAGAAATCGAGCCGCAGGACGCCGAGGGGTAACATCACCTTTCATTTAATAATGGAGAAGGAGGTCCGACCTGAGCCACTCTCTGAAAGGAGAGAGAGAGACAGCAACGGCAGAACCTCTACCGGGCCATGAAAAATGAGCCGCGACAGCAATTTCAATTTGAGGCCGTTTCGCGCCAGGCGCCAAAATATCTCGCATCTTGCGAGGCGCTCTTGCCAGGATCTCTCGCGTGCCGCGATTTGATTGGCCGCGGGGCTACGCACCCCTCTACGCGGTCATTGACGCAGCTATCGACCCTGGATAGAGAGATCCAGGGATCACTCTGGTGCGGGCGCTCGATTAAACTAATCGCAGAAAAAGTAGTCCGTTGTCGTTGTATTGTACTGTCTGTCGCCGTAGTGAGGAAGGAAAGGACGACGCCGAGGACTATCCCCAGCGAGGAGGAACGAGGTATCGGTGAGGTTGCCCATCCTTTTCTTTGTGAGCCACCTACGCGATTCGGTCCGCCGGCCGGCCGTTCTGCCGCCGTCGCCATTTTCGTGTTTCGCGACCGCTCAGACTCTGTGCCGAGCCGTTGATATTTTGTGAATTTTCGAGCAATCGGAGGCAAGCGACCGAGGAAAAGCGGACAATCATATTGCAGGCATTAATTGATAAGGCAACGTTGGTCTCTCTCCGGATTTTGAGGTGTTCAATACGCGTAGCTATCGACCGCCGAATATCGACCGCGTGCGCGAAGAATCGCGAAAAGCGTACACCGCTCGTGTCGTATCGCTGTCGTTGCCGCGTGGAATATTCCCGCAAAGTATCTCGGAGCGATTTTTGTGTCTGATTGCGTGGATGTCGTCGTCGATTGTTAAATGTGCGTCTATTGTATTATGTCGTATTGTGTGCGTTAGAGTATTTGCGTCTTCGTCGCGCTTATTACCCCGGTGAATACAGAGTAGTAAGTAATAATTTGCGTTTGTCGAATGTGTCGCGGTGCAAAATAATCGCAAAAGTACGACCGAGAGTGAAATTTAAGCTGCTTGCGCGGAAGAAATAGGCGAAACGCCGGAAGAGAAAGATCTCCGGCCGCCGTCGGCTATCAAATATCGAACATATCGCTCGCATACAAGATCCGTCTTCGCAAAATGATTAATTATTTTCGATCTATGATTAATTATGCTGTCGAACTATTGGACTGTCGATTAGAATTGCGAACTGGGAAATAGTGAGGAAAAGTCCGTAGCGATAAGACGTCGATTTGGCTGCCGAAATTACGATACGTTTTAGTGAATATTATTCGCGAATATTTCTATGTCGGAAAATCCACTGTATTCTGAGAAATATCGTTCAGTCCGGCGAACTCCGGCCATAAAAACGGGCTCGGAGAAACAATAGGAATGCCTTAGCGCTCTCTTTTCGGTTGTCGATTTCGAGCGAAAAAATGCATTTTCTGACATGAGACTTTATTTATAATATTCACGAATATATGTCAGAAAATAAAATGCATTTTTTATTCATTTGAAAGTAATTTTAATAGAATAATGAGAATGTTACAATTAAAATAAGATCAAACACGATATAAGCGACATAAATTTAGTTAAATATATAATTATGAAACTTGTATTATCAGATTAATTAAAAATTACCCGATTTACGCCGTGATTGATATCATTTTAATCGTAAAAATCTCATGAATTCATTGAAATTATTTTTACAGATGGAATTAAAAATAAAAGTTTCAATTTTTATTTTATAAGATGTTTACATTTCCGTGAATTGCAAATGAATAGAGGAAGCGAAGAAATCGATTGTAAAAGACTTCGGAACTCTTTGATGATAGATCATCTCGCTCGCTCTCTACTCATAGTCTTGTTTTCTCTGTCACACTTGACAATCGTGATAGACAGCTCGAAAAGATAAGCGGATCCAAGAATCGAGAGCGAGCGAGACAGTAATAGATACGAGCGAGACAATAATAGGAGCGAGCGAGACAATAATAGATGCGAGCGAGACAATAATAACAGCGAGGGAGACAATAATAGATACGAGCGAGAGAAAAATAATAGTGTGAAAGAAAGATCCGATTTTCGAACTCGAATCCTCGTTTCTCGTGCTATTTCTATCGCATTCGCTCCTATTATTATTTCGCTCGTTTTTATTACCTCGCTTCCCCATGTAATTCTTGCATCACTTTTATACATATTACGTAAATACATACACCCACACACTCACCCACCCACACCCACACACCCACCCACCCACACACCCACCCACACACACACACACACACACACACACACACACACACACACACACATGCGTACAGATTACATATTTTACCAGTTTTTACCGGTTTGCATGTGCGCTCTAGTTATTAATTAAAAAATATTTATCCCAGAGGCGATTCATTCGTGGACTGGTAGTTTTTAGAAATATTTCATACCTGATGCGGTTTGCATGTGCGCTCTGGTTATTAAAATATTTATTTCACAGGCGATCTATTCGTGTGCTAATAATTTAAAAAAATCCATAGGCGATCTAATTCGTGTGCTGATTGTTTTTAGAAATATTTCATACCAGATGCGGTTTGCATGTACGCTCTGGTTATTAAAATATTTTTTTCAGAGGCGATCTATTCGTGAGCTGATAATTAAAAAAATCCAGAGGCGATCTAATTCGTGTGCTGGTTTAAGAAAAATCCAGAGGTGATTTAATTCTGATGTTGGCTATTCGAAAAGTATTCCAGAGACGATTTAATTCGTGTGCTGGTTATTCAAAAAAAATTTAGAGTCGATTTAATTTGTATGTTGATTATTCAAAAAAAAAATCGAGAAGCGATCTTAATTTGTGTGCTGGTTACTGTTCAAAAATGGTTTATCAGTTACGACTTGCATGTGCATTCTGGAAGCGAAATTTAAACAAAATTTAATTCAGAGAGGTTAAATGAGATTGTGTAGTCGACCAAACTAGCCAGAATTATAATTTATTCAATACGACGTTTCGACCATATGGTTGTGGTCCTTATCAAGTATACACTGAAATAGATATATAAATTACAAAAAATTATTATTTACATCTAATTTTCGGTTTAGACCGTAATATGCACAATTAATTTAGTTTAAACGTGAGATGTTTTAATATACATACAAATTAGCCGACGTAATGATAATCAGAGTATCGGCATAGATAGTAATCTTGTGCAAAGCACAAGGCACATTAACAAACTTTATTTTAAATTCGATTTTTGAGAACAATGAGTCCGTGTGGGACCTCGTCAAAGACTGAACACGATCATAAGTAAAACGGAATTACATGACCTTTATTATTTTGTCATAAATGTTGTTTAAATTTTCTGTGTCTCTTTGTAAGTTGATTAGGTTATCAAATCTCTTTATGAAAAACATCTCAGCAATTTCTCTTTTACGAACATACTTTTCGCTGTGTAGGATGTTCGGTTTTATCCAATCAAAATCATGACCAGATTCTAATCTATGCTTGCTAATTACTGAATGATTAGTTTCATGTAATTTAATGTTGTTACAGTGTTCTTTTACTCGCGTACGTAAATGTCTTTTTGTTTGTCCGATATATGCTAAATTACAGTCTTTACAATTTAATTTGTATACAACGCCTGTTTTATCATTATCGTGTAAGCGATCTTTACCACGTGTAATTAAATTATTTTGTTTTTTAATTATCTTATACACGACCTTAAAGCCTCTATTACGCAGGAGACGGTATAAATCTTGACTAACATTTTCAACATATGGTATTGTGATAAACGGAGTCACGTCAGAACGAGTAAGATTCACATCAGTTATAACATTATGGTCACGATTATTTAAAATGTTGAGTCTTTTTTTAATGTGTTTATATATAAGATGTTCCGGAAAACCGTTCTTAATTAACGTGTCAAAAACTAGCTTTATGTTGTCTTGTTTAAAGCAGTCATTAGATAATAAGATCGCGTGGTCAACTAAATTGTAAATAGTATAGTATTAATTTTGTACTTTTGTGGATGGTTCGAGTGATAATTTATATACCTCCCTGACCATGTAGGTTTCCGGAACCAATTAGTGATAAGTCTATTATCGGACCGAATAATTTTTACATTCAAAAAGTTAATGGATGAGTCATCTTCAGTCTCATAAGTGAATCTTAAGCGTTCGTGATAATTGTTGAACTTTGTCAAGATCTCGTTGATTTTTGCGCGTGGTAATATTGCGAAAACGTCATCGACAAATCTATAATAAGTAGGAACGGTAAAACCTAATGAGCTTAGACATTGCATCTCCATATCTTCCATTACCATATCTGCTAAGATAGGTGAAAGTGGAGAGCCCATGGGGGTGCCGAAGATCTGCTCATAAAAACGCCCGTTAAATGCAAAACAAGTTGAATCCAAGATCAATTCCGTTGCAAATAAAAATTGAGAAAGGTTGAATTTAGTGTTCTTGGCAATATCTTCCCAGCGTTTCCGTATAGCATTTACTACCAAATCTTTGGGGACGTTAGTGAATAATGAAGCCACATCCAGCGACACCATGATGTTGTCCTTGTCAATATCAGTGTTCTTGATAATTTCGACAAAGGACCAACCATCTTTGACATATGAATTTGGTTTTCTTATCGATTTATATAGGATATCGTAGATGTAGCTCGAGATATTGTATACCGGGCTTCCCAGAGCAGATACTATGATTCTCAACGGGAAACCATCTTTATGAATCTTCGGCAGCCCGTAGCATCGCGGCAAATTTCCGTTTGTGCAATTTAAGTTTTTATATGTCAACTCACCGATCAAACCGCTCCTACGCCAAGACTTGACTAACTCATTGATTTTGTTAGTTAATCTTTTCAAGGGATCCTTTTTTAATTCCCTGTAAGTGGTTGTGTCACTCAGCAGCAATTCCATCTTGTCGAAATAATCACTCCTGTCCATGGCGACAGTGATCTGACCTTTGTCAGCTCTCGTGACCATGATGTCTTTATTTTCGCGTAAATATCTCTTGGAGACCGCGTAGGACTGCAAGATGCATCTATCTGAATAATTAGTGCGTTTATTGTTGTCAAGAAATCTCTGAAGGATGTTAGAGATGGAAATTCTAGTTGTTTCAATCGTATCTGTTGGCAAAATATTACTGTGCACTTCAAAATTCTTGACAACGTCCAAAACAAGATTGTTACGATCATTTTTTTGTTTCTGTTCAATGGGTAACGCAAAATTGTCACCCAAGCTTAACACATCAGAAACAGTGTCCGGTATGTCCTTGCTGCTGATGTTCACGAACCACTTAGATTTGTTAATTTTTGAAAATGGATGCTCGTTGTATTTTTGTTCCAAGTTGTTAAATTTTTTAATTGAATTATTTTTCCTATTGTAATTGAATGATGTCAATCTATGTTTATTTAATTCGAAAAAAGTAGTCAATATGTCATGTGGTAGGCATTCAAAAAGTCGTTTTTCAATGTTTTTAATTTTGTCATGTAAATAATTTAAATGGATGTTAAGATCTTCAATCTCGAAATTTAACAACATGTGTTGATTAACTCAGAGATTAATTCAGAGATTATAAAGACACTGCTTCAACTAAAAAGCATATTTGATAAGAATAAAAATCCAGATAAAATAAATCGTTGAACCGATTTTTACATGTTATAAGAGGATTCCTATTTTGAAAATGTGCTATATATTACGATAATTCTTGTGTAATTGTAGCATGTCATATAGCGACGAAAGCTAACAAATTATTGGAGCAAATTGCACTGATCGCTGACGACTTTTTTTGATAACACCAAGCTTCGAATGTGTTATGAAAATATTTATATTATTTATAAATTTTACGACATTACATCAATTTGCATAAAACATTTTATATTGTTAGCTTTTGATTATATCGAGTTAACAAACGTCGTGCATAAATTATTATTTGTAGAAAGTTATATGCAAATATCTTTTTTATTGTATATACAGAATGTTGCAGAGTACTATACATATATAAGCGCTTGTAAAGAGCGCAGTAAATTGAAAAAACAAGTCCCAGTATTTTACAATTTTCGCAATAATAGAAAGAAATAAAATAAATTAATTAATTATATAATAATATTAAATAAAATCGATCGAATGTGTATCTGTGTGTGTGTGTGTGTGCGTGTGTGTGTGTGTGCGCGTGTGCGTGTGCGTGTGCGCGTGCGTGTGCGCGTGCGTGTGCGCGTGCGCGTGCGCGTGCGTGTGTGTGCGCGCGCGCGCGCGCGCGCGCGTGTGTGTGTGTGTGTGAGGGGGAGAGAGAGAGAGAAACGCTCGGCAGTTCGAGCTATTGCATGATTCAGTATGTTAGGCATTTTGTCGGCGCGCGGCAAGGGGAGGGGCAGCGCGGCGCAACGATGACGTTGTAACGAATGACAACGGCTTATCTCGCTGTTCTTCTCTTTGTCACATGCCGACGATATGTCTAATACGCTGGATCATGCAATAGCTCGAACGGCCGAGCGTTTCTCTCTCTCTCTCTCTCTCTCTCGCTCACACACACAAACACACACAACACACACGTAGATACATAATCGTTCGATTTTATTTAATGTTGTTATATAATTTATTTATTTTAATGTCTATTATTGTGAAAATCGTAAAATGCTATGAGACTTTTTTCTTCAATTTACTGCGCTCCTCACAAGCACTTATATATGTATAGTACTCTGCAACATTTTGTATATATAATGAAAAGGATATTTGCATATAACTTTCTACAAATTACAATTTATGCACGACATTTGTTAAATCAATATAATCAAAAGCTAACAATATAAAATGTTTATGCAAATTGTTTGCTGTAATATCGTATTCGTAAAATTTATAAGTACATAATATTTATAAATATTTTCACAATATATTTTTATTATATATATAAAGAGACATAGCTAAAGGAGAGCAATGATATTAGAATTATGTTTAAATATGTACGCAGTAAAGACAGTTCTATGCTCTAAATTACTTGTGCGAGACGATAGAGTGAAAATGCAACATATTTTTTGTTTGAATAAATACAATTAACACAATATAAAGAAAAGTTTTCATATTGCTCTTTCCAAAATATGCATGTCTTTTTATATTAGATAAGATTTATATTATATAAGATTGTCGGTAACATAAGTGTCGGTAAATATAAGTGTCGGTAATGTACGGACACTTTTAGTTATGTTAAAATGAGGGCGCCTACCCGTCGGAGTTCGGCTGCGACTCCAGCATCCCCTTAAGCTCGCGTAATTTATTTGAGTGTTAGCCTCTCGTGGTTGTCGATATCTGTTTTCGTGTATGTCGCATATTGGATTATTGAAATCTCGCATAATCAATTGGCTTTCTCTAAAACTCGTCCCCTCTACCGTTAGGTGAGCTAGTTGGCCCGTGGCAAAGCAGGTTATCATTTTTCGCGTTCTTTGACGTTTCGTGGAAAACTGATGTGTGAAAGACCGCATCTGGCGCCCAACATACCGAGATATCGAAACGGCCTCCGCTCCGCCGCGGCTCGCACGAGAACGCCCTCCATCCCTGTTCCTCAGAGCGCGAGTATATTAATTTCGCTATTTTTTTTTTTACGGCGTTTTCGCTCCCCTGCGCACACTCCCCTCCAACACCTCGAGGAGTGTTGCGAATAATTTAAATTGAAGAAACGTCGCAACCAATATCCGACAAGTAAAGTATTCTCTCTTCTTTTTCTATCTTCAAAAGGCAATTTATTAATAGTAAGATATACTGGCCAAAGGCCTGGACTTATTTTTGACTGGACTTATTTTTGATGATTTAAAAACTGGTATGCCGTCAGTATACCATGTGAAAGAAATATTGTTACGATCACGAAAAAATCCATTGTTAAACCATTCTTGATATAACTGTCCATCATAAATATTCGTTATACTTCCAGGAAATTGCATTGGACGTTCAAATCGACTTTGAAGTTTATCATAAAATGAAGGCATTGCATACATTTCTCTTAACTGATTTATGCAAGATAGCTCGATAAAATAGGCGTTATTTTTTTGACGACACAATGGACAAATATTACATGGGCTGAAAAGTCCCGGGATTTTTCAATAAGTGGCGTCACTAGAAAATGAACATGATTTATTTCGAGAGGTTCATCTGTCACTGGTTTATGTATGAAGTTAATGACATTTCGTTCATTCGTTTACAAGCTGCAGTCGTTTAAGTGACGCTACTTTCGCCTTCGTAAAAAAAATGGAAAAACAGGAATATCGCATCTTGATCAAACATTATTTTTTGATGGGAAAAACTTCTGAACAATCATTGAAATGGTTGCAGAAATGTTATCCCACATCTGCTCCTTCGAGAACAACAGTTTATCGGTGGTTTAATGAATTTAAAATGGGTCGTACAAGCACCAAAGACGTACCTCGCTCTGGAAGGCCAAAAGAGTCTACGAATGCGGAAATCGTAAAGCAAGTGCATCGAATCGTTTTGAGTAATCGTGGAATGAAGTTGCACGAGTTAGCTGAGGCCATGGACATCTCAAAAGAACAGGCGGGATACATTTTGCACGATCTTTTGGAGATGAAAAAACTATCGGCGCGATGGATGCCGCGTTTGCTGACCATCGATCAAAAACAGCAGCGCGTTGATGATTCAACGGCCGGTTTGGCGTTGTTGCAGCGTAATCGAGCGGACTTTTTTCGACGTTTTGTGACGATGGATGAAACGTGGGTCCATTACCATACGCCTGAGTCCAATAGGCAGTCTGCGTAGGCGTATTTCGAAGGCTTGGACGTTTCGTACTACAGAAAGGGCATCGAATTATTGGAAAATCGCTATACCAAGTGTATCGCCCTCGAAGGCAACTATGTTGAGGAATAAATATAACTTTGCCCAAAAAACGCTTGTTTTCATTAAAAATCCCGGGACTTTTCAGCCCATGTAGTATCATTCATTGATTTCTTAATTCTCGATTACAAATTGTACAATAATAATGTCTAACAGCATCAGCCTCACTTAAACGAAAAAATTTTTTAAATTTATATAAACTGTTTTTTCTTAAATTTCGAAAAGGGCAACGGAATTTGATAACTGTAAATGTCGACATAGATGACATCGTAAGATTATGATGTAAAAGAAGAGATAAAATTAGTGACATACTATCACCGACAGTTATTTCAGCGCCATGATATAATGATTCATTTAGGTCGTCATCGTTAATGACGTTGTTAAGATCATTATCAATATTTTCATGGTCGATATTATAAGTATTATCACAAATATCCGAATCATCACTTCCCTCAAAAGTTGAATTCGTATCATCTAGATAGATCATTAGTAGAATCATAAGTCCTAAAATCGTATCTGATATTAGTATCTACTCTTTCTTGTGAACTACTTAAATTACATTTATTTTTATAAATAATAAAGGTTTTTATTTTTATACAGTAAATGCGTTTTTAAATAAATATATATACTATAGTGTGTGTGTGTATGTGTGTGTGCGTGTGCGTGTGCGTGTGTGTGTGTGTGTGTGTAGACATCACATATTCCAAGTTTTTATCTTATTTGTTACTTATTATTTTATTATTATAATAAATTTGCATACCCATATTCGTTTTCAATTTCATTATTTTCAGAAAATTGTACTCTATCATGTACGTCTTCTATTTCGTATTGATTGCTGAATATTGAAAAATATTTCTGATTAATTAGAATTTTCTCTTTGTTTTATAAAATATTTTTATAAATATTTATCAAGATTATTAATAAGTTGTCAAATAAAATAACTACTTTCGATTATTTAATGCAAATTGAGCATTTTTCTGGTCGGGTAGAATATCAAAATTTCTATTTCCCAGAATAACCTTTAATCGAACGTCTTGCTGTTTCTTGCAAACTTGTTCAAGTGATTTGTGCGACATCATTTATTCAGAATCATTCATTCAATCAATCATTTATTTAGAATTTACAATATGATCAAAAATTAAATTTTTGTCTTTCGGAAGAAAAACTAAATACCGAAATTATCTCTTTTTAGAAAGCGAGACGAGAAGGTTGGATGAAAATAATATACCTGATATCGATATTAATCTTGCAATGATAGAAAAAGAAAAAAAGAAACTCTATCATCTATCAAGTAACTTCTTGTTTCGCAATCAAAAAAGAGACACTCGACAGTTGTCGTCATTTCTCTCATTATATTTAGTAGTTTTTCCGAATAGTTCGTCCATTAATAAAGTATATATTAATGGAACATTAATAAATACGTGTACTTTAAATAAGTGTGTGATTAAGTATGATTATGCCGAAGCACAAGAAATTTGCATTAATTTGGTGGCTGGAAACCAAAGAAAAAGATGTAATTAATGCATCGATTATTTTCAAAAAATCCAGACATGTTAATGAAATAGTGAAATTAACGTGGAAAGATTATAAAACTCAGAAAAAAACAAAGGCTGAGGCAAAAATTCTTGCCATAAGCGGTAAGTTACATTTTTCTGTGTGTGTTAAGAATAACTATTTTTTTATATCATCAAAATAAAAAAATATTACTAAGTGTTGATTTTTATCATAGATAACGAAGATGAACTGCATAAGTTAATTGTAACTACTAGTGATACCATCCATGATTTATCCCAAAAAATTTTCTCCGCCGATATAATAGAAGAGAAGAATGCTAGAAAAATATGTAAAAAAGTAACAGAAAATATAAGAAAATCCAACAACAGGCAAATTGAAGAAAAAATAGCAAATCGTCTGCACATTTTATCGAATATAACAATTATACCTAACATGCATTCATCATTATCATTACTATCATCATCACAGTCTCTTCCTCGCAATTTATATCCTCAATCAACATCAATTTTTTCAAATGAAGTCAGCACAACATCATCATTTTCATGCTTTTCAACTCCATATCATAAAAATCAATCATCTAATAATTTACAAGATACAGCACACAACACACAGACATTCACTTCAATTAAAGAAAAGACAAATGCAGTACACTTAAATCAAGAATCATCAGACGTATATCAAAACAGTACATTGAATAAATATCAAGATAGTGCATCATCATCTTCACAATCCTTTTCTCACAATCAGTTTTCACCAATAAATAAATCAGATACAACATCATCATTTTCTTGCTCTTCATCGACTATTCTTTCATCAACAAAAACCAAAACGCATATATCAAAACAACACAGATTCATCATCAGATTCATCATCAGATTCTGATTCATCTTCACAAAATTCACGAGAAAGTGAACAGAATAATGTTGGAAAAGGAATATGTTAAGGATTGTAACGCTAGATGGAGGTGCAGAGCGCGAAAAAGAAAATAAGGAGAGATGGTAAGATGGCGAGAGTGCGTGTGCACGCGAGAACAATGTTACGCAAAAATATACATGATTGTTAAATAAATTTGATTGTGAAATAAGACAGCAGTTATTAGGCGTCCCATAACAAATTGGCGCCCAACGTTGGGCAACGAACCGAATCTGAGAAAAAGAGTTTGTATCGAAATTAGGTGAAAAGGAACAAAAATTGAGAAGTCGAGCACGTAGCGAGCGTCGCAGCTACAAAAGAAAGACACGAAAACGACGTATAAAACAAACAATAGTGAACGTATTACAATCGTTCGGTAACAAATATTGTAACGAGTGTAGTGCACATGTACACATAGACTTAGGAAACTATAGACGGAGCGTAAACTGTTACTTTAGGCAAGGGGGATAGTGATAATCGACGGAAGGGGAAATAATAGGCAACTTCGACAAACTTTGGTTGACTCGGAAACGTTCGGCTCACATACATACTACATTTACGTACGCGCATGAAAAGTGAAGCCTTTAGCTGTGAACCTGTAATAAGCTGTCGTATTTTTTTATAAAATGAATTATTGTGTTGTGTCCGGTTGTAAAAATTCGAAATATAAAAAAAATGCTGAGCAACAAGAAAAAAAATTATTAAATCATTCGTTTGCGTTTCATTCGTAAGTATATACATTATTGTTGAGGTTATGTGTATATGAAACTCATATGATTTTAATAATTGAATTATTTGTTTAGATTTCCGCAGAATAATGAAAAGCGACAGAAATGGCTAGAAGTGTTACATTTAAATAATCCACCAAAATGGGGTGCTATATGTTCTGCCCATTTTAAGGAAACTGATTATGAAACAAATAATATGCGTCGAAGGCTTAAAGCAAATGCTGTTCCATTTGTAAATAATTGAAAAAAATTATATAT